CACGCACGCACGCACGCACGCACGCACCCCCACACACACACACACACACACACACACACACCTACCTAAACGACCAAGGCCCTGATGGACCGCCGAGGGGATACGTACTTTCAACCGTACGCCGCGCGCGCCCTACACCCCAACCTCAGCCCTACTGAAGCCCATCAATCATAAATCCGAGTCCGAGACCCAAACCCTTGTCATATGGTTTACCAGTAGGTTCGTCCTCTTACTTTTTTTCTATTCGTGGGAAAAGGCATACATTTCTCCAGTACGGAAAAAAAGTAAACGCGTAAGAACTCTTATTTAGTCGGAAAGAACACCCTGAACGAGGCCTCTGAAAGCATCCGAAACAGCCTCTGAATATAACCTTCTAATCCACACAAAGATCGGGGATTTGCTGATTACGTGGTGTATCTATATAGACCTTGGAGGGTACCAGAACAAAGGTCTTACATAGGGCAGCAGCTAGAGTGTGATAAAGGTTTCGGGTTTCCTTGCTTTCAGCATCTTTGGTTACTTGGGTCTTTAAGGATCGATTCATAGGGCTGTTTGGGTTTTGGATCTTGCAAGGCTTGGGATCCTCCCCACAGCGACCTATCTTTAGGTTCGGTTTGAGAATCTTCAGCTGTTTGGGGATTTCGGCTATGTCATCCTCCTATATAATATAAACCCTATAAACCTATTAACCGACCAAGTTGAGGTCAGGGTTTCAAGGGTTTAAGATTGCATGGTCTTTGGAAATGAGGCCGCTGTTGGGAACTATTTTGGGGTCTCGGAATGAGGTAGAAGACTCTGCAAATGCTTCGAAAACTTTATAACCATATACGACAGGAAATACCCTCTAAACATCCTTATCAACCCTAAAAGGCCCTAAGGGAGCTTAGGAGGTTCAGTGGGTTTATATAAGGCTGGGTTATATAGAGTTATAGACGTCCCTAAGAACCCTAAAGGGAACCTGATTTCGTATGGGCTTCATTAGCAGCTGTGCTTCGGCTTTGGCTTCGGCTCGGCGTCTCGGCCCACTGGGTATGTTTTCACGCCACTCGAAATTCTGGCGTCAGATGCTCCGCCGCATCCGCGAGGTAGCGCTGCAAGGTGCGAAGCGCAGTGTATGTCGGTCCCACCCGACGGCTTGCTCGTCCTTGGATCCCGACGAAGGTCTCGTCCTGTTGGACGCTTGTGGCAACCATGCTGAGCGACCAAGCGTTTCGAGCACTCGACTGCTGAAGGCTCAGGAATAAATGGTGAAGCATGTGTAGTTTTGGCGTGACCGGGAACCGGTCCCGGTCCGCCGCCAACGTCAATGCCACCAGATGCCCATACGATTTAAGAAAATTCAGTCCAGACGTAGATGCCGTCTGCGCAAGGTGTTGATTCAGCCACAGTCCCCCCCGATAGAGGGTCCGGATGCTCAAGTTGATGTTCTGGGCAGCTTGCGAGATCCAATGCAGAATGGGATCACGGGCCGCCTCCTGCGGATGGGCCTCGCAGAAGTGTTGCACAAACTCAAGCAGGAGGGTCGTATCCGAAGCCTTCTGCCAAGACCCCTGCGGGCATTTCTGGAGACTCTCAAATCCAATCGATACCTCGGTGATGCTGCGGCAGTAAAGCTTCTCCCCGCGCTGCCTCAAGAAGGCCTGTGCCATCGAGTCGATGTAGGCGAAGCGCTGCGGGATGTTCGCCCCTTGGGATGAGCCGGGATATCAGGAAAAAGCGATCTTATTGTATATGCTTGGATCTATAGCGTACAGAGCGCATGCTTTAAAAAGATCGAAAACATGCGGCTTACCAGCAGCTTTGCCTTTAAATTCAATTAGACCAATTAGCAGCCAGAGCAACCCTGGAAATCACTGGATATTACTATATATATAGGAGCGAGTGTAGACATGGCATCACCTGTGCTCAAAACGGAGCGAACCCTCGATCGATCTGAATTATAGTTGCCTGTTGCAGGGTTCGATTTACAAGGATCCAAAAGGAAAAAGGAGCCAACCTAGTACGTTTTATTTAAGCTAACCCCGCAGCACAGCATGGCCTGGCAGCACGCGTAGCCATTCCGCCAGAGAGCTGGCCACGAAGAGTTTCCCAGCTCCTAAATGGCAACAATGCCAGAAATCAGGCTTCATGAATGCTGATGGGCAGCACGTCTCGACGTGCAGTCGTCGGACAAGGGGCGGAGCGGTCATCCAGGGAGCTGTGCAACCGATGGTCTGTAGCCAAGATGGGTTGCTAGTGAAGTTTTCCCAGTCGACGCCCGGCTGTCCTGCATGGCAGAGATGACAAATGCCAGCTAGCGTGCGCTGCCCAGACCGCTTCGAAACGTGGGTGTAGCATCGCGTGAGCTTCCCCATTTTGGCGAAAAACTGCCAATCGCCCACAGCTCCAATCACAGCCAAATGCCAGCGCTCGCCCCTGAAGGAAACGCCCACAGTCTGCAGCTCAGACAAGTTGCGGGCCAGCTCATCAAACATTCGGTCCAAGTAACGGCCGTCCTCGCCGTAATGCTTCTTCTGCATCACGAAAGACAAAAAACGGGTCTTGACCGCGGCGCCCTTAAGATTCACGCCCATCGCCTGAGCTCTCGAAATCGGGGCGTCCTTGTACCATTGCTGATATGCCTTGCAGCCGTATCCAATCACGGCATGTAGGTTCGCCACCATCATAGGCATATGCTTCTTACTTCGGGCTTCGTCACCGTGCACAAGCATAGGAATCGTTCGTTCTGGCACCAAAATACCACTGGAGAAAGAATCCAGGATTGTATTGGTAGGTTCCACGTGACGAAATCGCTCCCAGAACCTGGGATTTTCGATCAAAGCGTGACGAAAAACCTCGGAACCCTAGAACCCTAATGTATATATAGGCTTGCCTGGAACCCTAAATACCCTATAGACCAATCCAGAAACTTTCAATCCGATATATACCCATGCATACATAGATACGATACCCATATCAGGCTGGTATTTGTAAACTGGAAAGCATATCGGAAATCTCGGGCGTTACTTGGCCTTCAAACGATTGCACAGCGAGTCGATGTCGATGCGACATCTCGGGCGTTACTTGGCCCTGGAACGAGAGAGAGAGAGAGAGAGA